TTGTACTTTTCCTCAATTTAAAAAAAAAAAAAATATGATAGAATTATTTTAATAATAAATGAATTGAATTTATAATATATAATATTGTGTAAAATTCAGATCGATGAAGTCTTTCATTTCAAAACAAGTAATCAATAATGCAATTTCTATAACGTATACTTTCAGAACTAGTGAGTTTAAAAGGCTGCCAATATTTTTTTTTTTTTTATTTAAATAGATACCCAGTGCAAAAAATAGCTTTTATCACATGTCCTTAATTGTGAACTAAATTTGGTAGAATATAAGCAGGCAAAAGTTAGCAAAATATAAAACATTATCGTAAAGGAATAATAAGAACATGCATCACAATTACCTTCTGAAAACAAAAAATAATAGGACAACAGCCAGACAAACAATAATGACTGCCACAGCTCCTCCTATGATATGAACAATGTTGATTTCATTGGGATCTGGAGCAACCACCTGCACGAGGAATGAAATGAGTATACAATAACGTGCAAAATTGATACAGCTTATTCATTCAAAATCCCTATTTCCATCAAAATAAATAATAATTAGAGATAATATTGATAATCATAAACCGTTTTATTGCATTTTTGAATACTGTGGGAAACATTCTTCAATGGAAATATATATACTTAAGTATTTTATTAAATTGAAGACAAACTGTTTGATTCATGATTGGCACTAATTGTGCTTCATTACAAGCCGACCAGTATTTCATATTCCTTTGATTTGTAGGAATATAAGAACAGGTCAGCTAATAAAGGAGCAAAATCTAATGCAAAATAGCATGGCGCAGCGCCATGCCTAATTTCCAGCGCATTGGCAAAGAATTAATTCAAAAACTGATACACACTAAACACTTGCATATGATGTTTATGTCTTCCAACTTATTCACAACTCCACTCAAGAGCATGCTTTGGGTACATTAATTTTTTTTTTTTTTTAAACCAAGGCAGATTACACACACATAAGTTGATGTTGCAGGGATTTTAACAACCTCGTTTAAAGTCACAGTTTCGTAAATTCTATGGATGTTATAATAACACTATTAGCAAATACCTATCACTCTATGTTTTTTACTCCTTGCATCATTTCAGTTGTTTGGATTTGCTTTTGTACTAAATTTGACTACGGAGTGTTCCGTCTACTTGATTAATATAAAGGCCTCATGGACGGTTTGACTCGTCAACAAGGGATGCCTAATTACTCATCCTAGGCACCTGATCCCACCTCTAGAATTTACAGGGGTCCATGGTCCTTGTTTATGCCTGACCACATATTTTGTATTATTTGTAGCTTTTATTAGATCGAACACTGTTCGTTACATTCATTCTTTTTCGTGTATCAATTACACATGTTCACCTAGCTTAGAAAATGGAAAATTAATAGTTTCTGACAAAAGTGCAAATAAAAATCTATGGATGGCAATTTACATTTTGTTTTTAAATTCGTCATAATAATTTTTGTATTTCGTTTAAGGTAATATAATCAGTTAAAAAACTTTCTATTCCAAAATTTTTTTATAACATATGAACTTTGTTTAAAAAAATTCCAAATTTGAATTTATTATAACAGATTCAGTTGGTTGAAACAAGTTCTTAAATTGGTTATAACGATACATTTGAAAAATATATCGAATTATTTTAAGGAATTTAATTTGATGTAACATGTCGAAATCATTTAAAGGAATTTAAATCGTTAAGACAAATTAAGAATTCGTTTAAAGGAAGATTTAATTCGTAACTATGAATTCAACAAATCTGTTATAAAGGATTTAATTTGTAATAACGATTGAAAAGAATGTTATTGTGAAAAAAGGTCGCTTATACAAATTCTTCTCCATAAAAGAAGATCATCTTAGGAAAAATATAACTTATAATCGGAAATTTTGGGAAAAAAAAGATGTATCAGTAATTAAAATTAAGATAAAATTTTAATAATTGTAAATGAAGCCGGCTAATTCATTCTGAATATATGCATTTTAAAAGCGTGGAAGTCAAAGGTAATTTTTCAATTTTAAGGTCATTTGAGCACTTGTTTCAAATGGCAGCCGTACTTCTTTGTCGCAAGCCATATTTTGTTCCAACAAACTTTTTTCTTTCAAACATCAATTATCACTCTTTCACTTTAGAAGTGATATTTTGAGTTAAACAACTTAATGTTAGGCCAAACCACATAATTTGGTGAAAAGTGCAAAAATGCAACGTCGCTGCCCAATATGTATTTTTTTGGAACGTTTTAGAAATATATGAATTTTTCTTCTGCAAAATTTTCGGCGGACATTTTCAAGAGTGTATTTTAAATTTTTCCCAATTGAAATTTAACACCTTAGACAATTAAAATATCTAAATCACATTTCCATTGAAAGAGATATTGAAAAATATAAAGTGGTACACTTCTGTGTGGGAAATTGGATAAATTCTTTGTAATGTGTATTTTAAGTTCAACATTGGTCAACTTGGGACACAATTCGAAAGAAATCTTTCCCAAGAAAGAAATTCCCTTCTGGTACTTTTTTTCATAAGTCTATTCACGAGAATAGGCGACACTTTTTTTGCATTGAAAGTTTTACAAGTCCGGAATGTATACTGAAATTACTGTCTATCATTCTAATGGCAAACCATACATATGTTGTAAAAAAAAAATGATCATGCATTTTCAAGAATACATTTAGATAATCGAATTATTTAAATAATGGGAAGAAACAGATTATAATGCATGTCAGTCTGAACCTAAATCAGTACTACATACCTGTGGACAAGATCCTATCAAGACATCACATGTTCCATTAAAGCAGTCCATGTTGCATGTTTCATTACAACTGTAACCATGAAAACCCAAGGCGCATTCTAAATTGGGAAAAGGGCAAATTAAAGCTAGTGATTTCTTTTTTTCTTTTCGAAAAAAAAGTAAAAATGACAATGAAATATAAATGATATTAAAAAAAAAAAAAAAAATAAACATTAATAATGTGAAAGAGATCTGGAACAAAACCTGCAAAATCATATATTTTAATAATAAAATAAATAAATAAAAATGGTCTTCCCTCTGTACATCTTTCTCCCAGAAACCCTCTGTCACACCCTTTTAAGCATGTCCCATTGATGTGATGACAATGTTCAAAATTCAAACACAAACCACATGACTGATTGCAATTCTGCCCATACGTCCGCCCGTCACATTCTTAAACAATCATTAATTAATAATCTGTTTCTATATTATCTCTATATCAAGGAAATCGGTTGCTTTGTCGATAAATAACTGGAAAACTCGAACAAAGACATGATAGTAGGCAAAATATTTTTTTTTTTTAAATGTGTGGGAAAACTTCTTTCAGAAGAAGACACCATGCGATCCAGCAAAAAATAAATAAGTTCTTTTTTTTACCTATATTACCTAATTTCATACTATGATATCAAAGAAAATAAATTCTAATTTCCTTACATTGGAATTTTTTTCAAATTACATGTAATTCTCACTGATTTTTCATAATATATTCATGTGAAACTGTTTAAAAGATAATTAAAACTAAACAATACCGTTCTCACAGAACCATCCCTTCCATCCAGGGTAACATCCAAACTCACAGACACCAGTAAATCTGTTACAGCCTCCTTTACAGTTTGGATTACAGAATTCATCACAGTTTTTTCCGTGTCTACCAAATGGACAAGCTGTTAGAGAATAAGTCAGGAAAACCAATACTGTTATATTTATGTGTTGAACAAAATAAAGCAACGGGAAATACATTCATTTATCTGCGTTTCTGAAAGGTAATAATATATAATTTGAATATCAAATTAGTTTGAATACATTAGTATATCCAGATCTTTATCAGATCACACGATATGAAAGTCATTTAAATTATGCATACGATTAATCATGAAAGATTAATTACAAATATATTCATCGCAAATTAATAAATGTACGTTGAACTCACTTTTTTTTTTCTTTATTGATTAGTTGCAACAACTTTGTAAAGTGTCATTGCTTTAAACATTTTTTTTTTGGAGACCTGATTTTATTTTTTGTCATGAGAGAGAAATGTTCCCATATATTTTTATATATGTAACCATGCGTTTCTACAACATCACGGAAGTTTGTTTTTCTAGATTGGAGCTAATAATACCAAGTGTTTCTAAGTAACAAAAATAACAATTTGTTAGGTTTCTCATTACCAAAACTCGGCCAACTTTTGGTCATGTATGCTCTTTTGACAAAATACCTTGTTTGTCTTTGTCTTACTTTTTTTGTCTCAATTGAATAACACTGTAAACTGTACTTCTTCTGGTTGTATTTCATTAGAATGCAATTCTTACATAATTTTTTTTTTACATCTGTACATGTTTTAAGATAAAAATATTAACAAAGCTTTATGACAAACGTGATGACTTCTACTTTTCAATCCTCAACTTTCCTTGCTTCCATGTATGTAGCAATATACCCTTATCACCAGCATATGATGTTTACATCTTTCAGTTGATTTTATATGCAAGTTAGGACATGCTATACGTATGAGCAATTTATAAAAATAGGCAAGCTTTTGACCAATAATTTGATGAAACAAGAATATCAAATCATCATTTCGCAAGTTCTAAGGCCGATACAATAACCTCTGTTTTCTTACCGACACCAACTGCGAGCAGGACCTCGTTTTTACGATCTCATCCGCATGACCGGTCTGCACTTCCCGCTGTGGGATTCGAATCCGCTACTTAAGATCAGCTTCTTACTCCGCGACTCTTCAACAAAAGCTATTACCATTACCCCGCCCGTGCGACCAAAATGTCTTATTTAGTTTTTTATGACATCAATAGGAAATGCAATAGCATTGTTTTTTTGTTTTGTTTTGTTTTTTTTTTGTCTTCATTCATTATTTCCGTCTTCATTCATGACCTGTCCATCATTTCATCGTGAATACAAAAAATAAACGTTGTTCTTGCAGATGAAGACTATTATCATAATATTGATACGTATAAACCGCAGTAACTAACCTTCGTCACATGTATATCCTTGAGCCCCAACGTCACATCCGTTTGTACATCTTCCATTCACGTGATGACATTGTTCTCCGTTGCTACAGTTACCGCATGTAAAGGTACACTCAAAGCCGTATTTATAATTATCACATTCTAAAAATTATAGCGAATGCTAACAGAAACTCTTTTAGTATTTAAGGGAGCCGACTGGGGTTTTATTGTGTGAAAACTACTATAGAGAAACTCTTTAATTTTATACCATATGTACCTCACATTGACTTCAGTATACATGCCAAGTTTAGTGAAAATCTACCGTTTGGTAATTTTTAGGGACCATCTCAAAATACAGGTACATTTACAATAGGATTGTATAGGAAAATACCATTTTTTCGCACTTCTGAGCAAATTATACAAATGCTACCATAGACTTTTTGCTCAAATTATATTATTTTATGGGTAATACTATATTGTACATTTTGTGCAAGAAACACAAAATTCTACCGTCTGGTTTTCAGAGGGGGCATCTCAAAATGTCAAAATTCATGATATTTTCCTGTTTTTATGGAGTACAACAAACCATGACAGATACCACAGATTTTCATAAAAAATAATAAAAATGATTCTTAGATTCTCAATTTCCTATGTTTTAAATTTCAAGAGCATGTATTTTATACTTTTTTATTTTATGGCATAGTTAATTACCCCTCTTAAAGATAACGTCAAAAACACACTATTACGACGTCTATCTACCCATCATTTGAAAAATCGTTTAAAAAATCAGTTATTTAAAAACGTAACTAGATTTTTTAACCCGAGATTTCCTAAAATTGTTAATCTTTATAAATTATGTAAAAATAGTTGCTTCAAAAGAGTAAATACGCTTTATTTTACTATGCTGCGCGAAGTATTGCGCAATGAAAACCCCAGTCGGCCCCCTTAATCGAAAAAAATATCAGCTAATTATTTCAACAATGATAACACCTCAAGAATAAAAATGTGGAACCATCTAGAAAAGAAGCTTAAATACAATAATTACATTTAAAGGAAACTTAGATGAATTAAATGAATGCATGACATTTAATTAATGCATGTCTTTAATTGCCTCGCAATCTGGAGGTCCACTTTTCCGCAATTCAACTCTCCTTTTCCTTGACAAGTAATACTGATTTTCCGCAATTATATATTTTTTGCTTTTCCGCGACTTATTATAACATGCTTTTCTGCGCCTTCTTTTAAGCTATCTAAGTCACGTAATATATTGGATACGGGCATTGATAAAAACCGTCAGCGTCATATTAAACAAAGATTAAAATCAAGCACTGATATAAATACCAAATAATCATAAATACTAAATAATCCAGATGCAGAACAAATATGCATCCTTTCACATTTTAATATAGGCTCCTTTTATCTTCACGATTTGTTTCTGTTTTAGCAAATTTCATAACATCTCGACAAGTGTGAATATTAAATTTATATATATTTTTTCAAACAGTGAGTTAGTACTTTCTACCCAACCATGGAAAAGCAGCGTGAAGTAGTTGCAGAAAAGCATACAGGATACAAAATAAAACCGCGGAAAAGCAAGACGACCTCGGAATCATAAAATTCATATGTGTTCTTTACTATACACCATACAGTATCAAAATAGTTTTCCACTATCATTATATGTATTTTTCACATTTTGTTCAGCTTGGGTCAAGACAAAAATCATTAAGCGGGTTTCTAAACAAGCATTGCCAGTCATGGTAACAATGAAAAGGATGTCATCTCTCTCTCTCTCTCTCTCTCTCTCTCTCTCTCTCTCTCTCTCTCAGGATGGCTTGTAGTTACGTACGTTCTTCACATCGTGGTCCTTTGTATCCGGTAAGACATCCAAGACAAGCCCCATCCAAAATGTTACAATGTCTCTCCTGGCAACTCTGTGAACACGGTAAGGTACAATTCTCTCCATAAACACCTGTAGTAGGGCATCCTAATTGAGTAATTATTGATGTTTTAAATAACCATAATCACCTTTTGCATATGTTATGGCATTTTATGTAACTATCAATTAATGATTACAGGTTTATTTTTTATTCTTAATACATGAACAATTAATGAAGAAATTCAATGTAATTATAAAATCGAAATATTTCTCTAAGGAATGTAATCTAATACTTAAAATGGAACTTCAACAAAATGTACTACAGGCTGGTGATGTTTGGATGACAATGAAAGAAAAGATACATTTCAACAAAAACTAAAGGGGAGCTTTTAGTGAATTTTCAGTGATTATTCAGTCACTCAATGTCAAATACATATTAATGACCTTTCAGTTATATTTCAGCTACAATTCTGGCATATTTTCGTACTATTCAGCAGAGACTGGTATATTTCCGTGGCTTTTCCTTCCCCTTTCAGTCACTTTTCAGTAATATTAATTTTCTTATCTATTCTTCGTCTTTTTAGAAATTTTCAGTTAAAATTCATTGAGAAAAAATATCAGTTTTCGATTTATTAACCCTATTATAGCATTAATGATATTATATAACATCAAATTTAAAAGGCCATTCTCAGATAAAAATTTACGTAATTATTGATGTTTGTCTGAATGTCATTTAGTTTGTTTAATTAAATTTCTAATGGAATTTCAAATTGTTATCTAAGGCCAAAAGCATATTGCATAATATAAATATGACAAAGCACATATATAATTTCATGTTATTTTATAAAACGACTAAAAAATAAACCAATAAATTATAATAAGAATTAAGATTAAAAAGAAATTTCTTTTAGACAACAATATAAGGATTATATATTGCATGAGAATTCAATAAATTATGAAAAATATAACTTTTTTTCAATTCTTATCAATAAAGTAATGTAAGAAAAAAAATTCTAGGGCATCTGCAATTCTGCATTTTAATAAACAAAATGCAATTTTGTTGTCTCTTTTAATTTCTAAAACTTAGAATTGCTTATAATTATTTAGTTGAATGATATATTTGATTATTTTTTTTTTATTTTAGATACTTTATCTTAAAGTACAATAAAAATTACATTTGCTAAGGTGAAGTATCGATTAACAACCGTGTGTTAATCGAAGGTAACTTTCATTATCTTTATATGGTGGTTTGAAGATCTGTCGGTATACATATTGCCCAACTCGTAGAGAGATAACAAATAAATCAGATTTGATTTCTATCAGCATAGTCATTTTTACATGTAATTCGATAAAAGATGATAATTCCCATGAGAAAAGGAACGTTATGATATATATATATATATATATATATATATATATATATATATATATATATATATATATATATATATATATATATATATATATATATATATATATATATATATATATATATATATATATATATATATATATATATATATATATATATATATATATATATATATATATATATATATATATATATATATATATATATATATATATATATATATATATATATATATATATATATATATATAAAACTATCAATAGAGCCAGCCTCACCCTTACACCACAATCCGGGAGTTATGACATTTTGATAAGATTTCCTAACGATACAATTGTTTGGGGTTTTTTTTCTGTTAAAGACTCAGGGGGCAGAGAAGAAGAAAAAAATGGCATTTCCACTATATATTAAATAGAACCCCCCCCCCCCTTCAGACATGAACCCCTGAACCTTGGACCACAAATTTCACAATTTCGGAAAATGTATCAATGATCATCATAACCATGCACTTAGTTTACCTGATAAAAATCCGGGAGCTGAGAAGATTTTCAAAGAACTAATGCATTTTCACTATATGATAGATAGAGCCCCGCCCTAACACCATAACCCCTGACCCAGGGGCCAGGTTATTTACAATTTTACAAGAGCCTCCATTGCCCATCATAATTAAATACGTGGTTTATCTGCTAAATACCATGGAGCAGTAAAGACGACTTTTAAAGAAATAATGCAATTTCACCATATAATCAATAGAACCCCCCCCCCTTTTTTTTTTCCCAGCTGAACCCGTAACCATGGTACCAAAAATTTCACAATTTTGTAAGATACACCCTTGATCATCGTAACCATGCAGTTATTTTATTTGCTTTATACACATGGGGAGAGAAGAAGATTTTTAAAGAATTTATACATTTTCACTATATGATCAATAGAGCCCCGTCCAATATGTAACACCATAACCCCTGATCCCGGGGCATGAATTTCACAATTTTGAAGCTTATTACAACCATGCCAACAGTTTGACTGCTTTATGTTCAGGAGTAAAGAAGAAGATTTTTAAATATTGGGGGGGGGGGGGGAACTTACATTACTATTAACACTCACAATACATGTACTTGAAGTTAACTTAAGCATATACAGTATCTTAAGCTTTCTATATTTAATGTATACATGCAGTGTGCCCCTCCGTCAATGCCACCACCAAATATGTCAGTTGTTTAGATTTAAAATTATATTGGACATTATTTCAATCCTTTCTTTTTTTTTTTTTTTTTTTTTTTTTTTTTTTTTTTTTTTTTTTTTTTTTGGGCATCAACGTTCTTCTAAGGACTTTGTTTTCATAAACAAACAGAGATATCGGGAATAAAGGTCTCGACTTTTATCAATTCCTGTTAATAATTATAAGTGAAATACAGCCATGAATTTCAATTGAGTCTCATTTTCTGAAATAAAATGGTTTAAGAAGTATACATTGGATACTAATAGATACCGAGCATTTTCATTTCATTTAAACCGAGTTTATCACAACTTCGTTCATCAATAAAATCGATTTGTCGGTTTAGTTATTATATCAATTAAATTTCAAAGATAATTATATAAATGTTGTTTTTTATGAATCAAGCAGTTTAATTTATACTTTTTTGCGATAGTTGAAGATTATATATATATATATATATAATTTCATCGTGACTACCAGAGATTTGAAATGACAGATTTTTTTGTAAGATGGTACGTGTATTGTTGTTATTCGGTTGAGTTAATTTTAGAATTCCTATTTCAACACCCCATCCCTTCCCGGTTTCTTTCTCGTTTGAAAGTCTTATTGTATTTCTGTTAAATTTTATGATGAAACAGATTATTAATCATTCCAAATAAAGTGCATTTTATGATTTTCAATCCCGTTGTCTCGGGTCGGAGAAAAGGATATGCTTAGAATTTTGTGTGGTTTTACCCCCACCCCCCACTTTTCTGTTTAAAATGATGAAAATCTTTCAGAAAGGTTTGGAAACACTTTTTTCATAGGACATGTTTTTAAAAGAAACACACTATAGCAATTTCCTGTTTACTGCCATTTTATTTATAAAACCGGTTCTACCCCATAACATTTGAATGGGTCAATTCACACCACGTGTCTTGAATTTAATTCACAATAACATTAGTAGGGGTGATATATACAGCACGCAACTATTCATCATATAGACTAGCTAGTTTTAAAATATCACAGGTTTCATGAGTGCGGACTGAATAACATGTTATATATACACTTTATATTTGCAAGAGGAAAGGTGTGTAATGCTCTTTATTATTATAACTTACCACGCATACCAAAAACGGGATGATCTTGTTACACAAAGGAAACATTGAAGACTGTTATATCCCCAATACCAAAATATCTCCATGTCAGGCTCTAAAAACTGAAAATCTGAGGTGTTTATGTCAAATTTCTTAACGCAAGTTAACGAATGGGGATGGCTACCTCATAGTGACAGACACTATTACCACTTAGAATTTATTCTAAGCTTTTCATGTCATGTTTGTTCGACGGTAGAATCACTCTATTTACTGCATTATTCCTAAATATGCATAATGTTTACAAAAAGTTTGTTCTTAAAAAAACACATGTTTTATTTAATTTCTCATGAGTTTGACTAAATGCTGTTATTTGTTAGAAGAATTAATAATTTGTTAATTCTGAGTATTTATAGCAAGTGACGGTTATTGTTCTTGACTTCCATATTTGGAAATCGTCCAGACCTGTTTAGAGTCTTTTGCGGGCTGCCTCTCATTCTTACGCATTTTTGCTAAATTTGTATTTTTTTCGCAAAAGAATACCTTTCTTTTCTGTTGGAAGAAGTGAATTGAATTTCAATTTTTGGCCAAAAACTCGCATAAAACAATTTATAGCAAAAGCAAAATATGCATCGATTATTCAATGTTAACATGATACAAATGGTAGAGAGAATCGTATAAAGGAAGCAATTTACTTTGCAATATTTAAATATTTTATTCTAATATTCTATTCGTGTTGAGCAAATAAGTTACATCTGATCCATATATCAAAATCATATTGAATACCGATCATTCATATTCAGTACCTCAGTAAATCACCTTGGCTGAAGCTTCTTAGAAATGGCGGGGAATAGATCAGAGATGTTTAACATTTCTGGTAAAGAAACCGATCTCAAATAATATTTTGTCTCATATTTTTATTCTAAGCAGTTGATATATAGATCAGACACAAATTATATATATAAATGAAAATAAATCACTAATAATATTATTATTTTGGGAATATTAAGAACTACGGCAAACGCTAGTGTCAAAAGATAAAACATATCGCTAAAAAAGTTACCGTCAATCTGAAACGTCATATCGTTATGACGTTATTTTGTTCTATGTAAAAGAAAAATTCTTAAAAAAAAACTTTTTCCTCAAAACAATTGGATTTTTTAATACCATTTCAATAGGAAATTTGACCAAAACAATTATCAAGTATATAAGGTAAAAAAGAAACAGATAAAAAAAATAAAAGGCCTCTGAAATATATCTGCAATTAAGGTGACTAAATGGCCACTGAAATATCACTTCTTTAAGTTAATTTTCTGTTACATTTTATTTACCATTTACCTACTTTTCCGTCGACTGAAAATCCATCCTTTTTCAGTGACTATTTTCTAAAATTTTATACAGTTGCACTAACAGGAAATAAAAACTATTCTGATTGATAAGGTTTGGAAAATCGATCCAAGGTCCCATAAAAGATCTTTTTACTTTAAAATTTATTCCATAAGATATATAATCTGAATATACCTACATGTATACCGAACTTAATTGTTTTGTTGTGCTTCTTACCATAAATTTCAAGTTCACAGAGATCGCTATATGCGAAATGGGAATATCCAACAGGGTAGGTAACTCCAGGAAGTCTCTCATTGTAGTAGATGACGTACTGTCCGTGGTTTATACATTCTATTGTAGTAGTATTCGGTACTGTAGTCTTGGTGTACTTCGTGTCTTTAAAACATAGATAGCCATCAAATTTGTCGGATGTGTTTGAGATGTAAACCGAGAAACCAAGCAAGCGTTCCGTGTATGCATTATTTTCGTCTAGAGAAAAGTAATTAAACTTCTATTATGTAGATATTGTGTTGTCAAAGACATGTAAGTTTCCAAGAAGATCATTATTTTTATGAGTACGACATATTTCATCAAGAGACCTGCTTAATGGCACCATTTTCATGTTTAATGTCTTAGATAAGATTTCAGTTAAAGGTTTCATCCTGGAAATCACATTGAAGTTTGTTGAGAATTAATGTAAAATGAATAGAAAATTAAAAAAAATAAATAAATAAACATACCTAAGGACTAAAAATCAAAACTATAGAATTTACAGTTATATTTTGCACATTACATTTTTATTGTTAAAATCTCAAAGTTTCAACTAAACTGAAATTATTTACTTCGAAAGCCTTGTTGATTTTTTTTTATCAGTTCTATTCTTATGCACTTTAAACTGAGCAGAATATTGACCACAAAAGAGAAATATCAATTTGTATAAATTGATGAGTACTTCCTTTCCAACGGACACTGATTAATGCAGTATTTCAACCTTATACATATTTATCGTATATTCAAGTTTGTCGAAATTTACACATAAAAGCAGAAAAGGCATAAAAGTAGTTTTTCTCATATTGAAGAAGTTCAGCATTGAATATTTCATTACTTTATATGGTAAATGAAAATATATTTAATAGTTTATAATTATTCTTTATACATAAAAAAAATAATTTCATTCAAAGATAGATAATGAAGAATCAGAATGAAAAAAATGGATTTATGCAACTTCATTAGAATATATCATTCAAAAAACAATAATCAATTTAAACTAGTTGATTACTGTACCCCACGGGATATCATCCGTCCTAAAGTATATAGTTATATGATGTATACTAAGTATTCTTCCTAGATCAACCGTCCAGGTTGCAGTTCTCTCTGCATTTCCCGATATCGTACACTGTCCTCCAAAGACAGACCGGTTAGAATACAGCCCATCTACAGCTTTGTAAGCCCTCGCAAAGTTTAATGGACGGCCTGTATAAGGATACTGCTGCCATGCAAACTTACGTAATGCAATGTTATCTGTAAATAATCATAGTACTGAAAGTACCGGAAAACTTTTAACAATACTAAATGCATTGTGTAATTTGAAGTTCATTAGAATTAAATTGAACTAAAATTTCCTGTTATGTCAGAACAAGTTAAAATTTCACAGTGCAACCGTCGGGGAGAGCGCACTTGCTTGATACATACTCACTTAAAAATTATACTAAGACCCTCCTCTGGAAGGTCAAGACCTTGACTTTACATGACGTCGTATGGGATTTAATTTCCATAACATTTTATATTGACATGTTTATCAGACTAAAACACTATGGCAACAAGTGAGTCATGAAAATTTTGCCTATAGCATAATAAATTCAACATCGTTTTATGAACTTTGTTTAAAGTGTAGCTAGTATTTCAACCTTTGTGAAGAACAACTACTCATACATATAAGAAGCAGTTTTTTTTAATTCTTCAAAACATCAAAATATACAAAAGTGACCGATAATCAATACAAAAAGCAACATACTTCTTAAACTTAAAAAAAAGAAATGAAAAAAATTAGGAATTTCTGATTGGCAATATCTATGTAGTTTTTGGAGATCAGGTCTTCCAACAATTTATTGGAATTCCCATGGGTGCCAATTGCGCCCCGTTATTAACAGACCTTTTTTTATTCATATGAAGCCGAATTTGTTCAAAATCTTATACATAAAAAGAAGAAAACACTTGCTGTAGCCTTCAACTCGACATTTAGATATATCGATGACGTATTGTCAATTAACAATAGTTACTGTCATTCATATGTCGACTCGATATATCCAAGTGAGCTTGAAATGAAAGATACCACAGATTCAGACACATCTGTTTCATATTTGGATATTTAACTAGAAAAAGACTTTAATGGTATCCTAACTACCAAGATTTATGATGAACGTGATGACTTCAACTTTTCAATCGTCCACTTCCCTTACATATGTAGCAATATACCATTATCACCTTCATATAGGGTTTATGTCTATCAGTTGATTAGGTACGCAAGAGCATGCTCTACGTATGAACAATGTCTAAAACGAGGCAAGCAAGACAATCAAGTTGACGAAACAAGGATATCAACAGTCTCTTTTGAAGTCATATTTTCGCAAGTTTTTCGGTCGATACTATGACCTTGTCAGCACATACAACCTATTATTGAGTCAAATGCTGTCTGACGTTTTTCATACTAATTGTTAGGCCATTATTTATACACTGAACTGTCTACCGATTTTTCCGGTTTTTGTTTCCCGTTCATGACAAGGGGCACACGGCGGGTATGACCGGTTGACAGGGGATGCTTACTCTTCATGGCACCTGATCCTACCTCTAATTTTTGAGGTCCGTGTTTTGTTCTGCTCCAAATTTGTATCGTTTCATTGCACTTTTGAGATTGAATACTGTTCGTTGTCTTCATATTTCATGTAGAAATATTTTCTTTTCCTGTCGCCCTAACATAAAATTCTTAATAATCTGTAAGACTACCTCTGTGTATTTATCACAAGCAATTGGAAAAAAAAATGAAGGACATAAGTTTTCCGACAAAATTCAGATTATACATTAAGCTTTATTGATTGATGAAATGAGTTTTGTTTAACGTCCTTTCGAGAATTTTTCACTCATATAGAGACGTCATCGTGTGCCTGTGAAAGGCTTCCAGTTTAGATATATGCTAGGCACTCAGGGCCATTGAGCAGTGAGGGATCTTTTTTTTTTTTTTTTTTTTTTTTTTTTTTGCACATGCCTACCGTGAAAGGGAACCCCGGTTTTTAAGGTCTCATCGGAAAGTCACGAGACTTTCACTTTTATTGCCAGGCGTTTTGCGAAGAAACAGACAATAAATATGTTTTACGTCATTGGTTTAACAAGTGCCGCAAAACAGAATCGAAAATGGATCACGAAGCGAACGCCCTGTCATTAGTCTACTTACAAAAAAATTCATAAAAATAGATGTATGACAGAAATAATTGTTTTGAGTGCAAATGTAGTACATGCAGTGATGGTTACTCGATTGCATAGGATAAAAATTGAATAAGAATTGGATGCTGGGCACAGGTGGTTGAACTTCTCATCACCTGTGAAATGCGGTGAGGATATTTGTTTTTGTAACCTGATCATCGCAAGATCCTTTTTGTTCATGGTGAAGGGGCAACTAATCGTGCATAACAACCGAAAGGTCATCCGTGCATACAAATTATCCACAGGGAATGAAAACTTGGGATTTTGCAAAAAGCTTTAAATGAATTTTAATGTGCGGTTAAAAAGTAAAAAAGATTAAAGGAAAGATTAATGTAAGTAAAAATTAAAGTTATACACGCTATAATTTGCGTCAGTAAGGAATAAAGTTGAAAATTTATTTATTATGTTTACCAATTAAAGTTTAGAAAATTCTATAAATTACATAATTGAATACGAACGCGTTATAAAAGATGTCAGATTATAATATTCATTTTCCTGCCAGAAAAGTAATGCCTCTTTTTAAATTAATGCATCACGTGACCCCGTCGCTTCTTTTAGACTGATAAACAAAAATGGCGTCAAGAAAACGAGGTAGGCCGTTTGGTATACAAATAACTTTTGACATGAATGGCAGACGTCTAACACTTAAAGATACTTATCTTTTTAAACAACCAGTATTAACCATCTACTCTGTTATGACAGATATTAATCTTTTATTCATACTCGTAGTCAAAATGCAACGTATACGTACCTCCTCGTCTATGATTTCCCGCGGAAATGCGTGTCTATATACTGTTTACGCACTTCTTCATCAATATTCTTGAAAAGACTGGATTTTTAATAGCAGATCTTGCTTAATGGTTTTGTAATTAGAACGACCAATTTAGTAAAACTTTGTGGAAAGAATCGGTTTTTTTTTCATTACACATCATGTTTTTCAAACTATTTAATCATTTTGTGATTAACATTTAATCATTTTCACATAAAGAATCATTTAATCATTTTCACATAAAGAATCGGCGTTTATATAGTGTGTATTTCTTTAAAATCATAAGTTTATGGTTATAGTTTTTTTTTAACAATTTATTCATTCCGTAGTCACAATTGTAGAGAATGGTACACTTCGTATCTCAAAGTCACAATGGACTGTTGGTCCGTGTTTTATTTGTCATATGTTGGGTTCGATCAACGAGGCTGTTCGGAAATTATTGAGGTACTTATCCTTTTATTGAGACACTGATCCTTTTCTTTTAAATGAACGCTTTTTAGCGAAGATTACCTAATTTGTTTGACAAACACTAAAAAATGAATACAAGCTAGACACATTATAGAAATATTTTATTTCTTTTCAATGGTATAATAATGGTATAATTATAAAATAATGTGTCAATGGTAGGGGTACCCGGTTCAGTCAGGAAATCAGATATTGAAAATATGTAAAACCCACGTTCGAACTTCCTGTGGACCTGTAGTAGAAGCGGAATAATACTATAATGTAAATAATATTGCTATTTTATTTTCATTTCTTTTTTTTTTTTTAATTTTGTTAGAATTTCAATTACAAATAAGGAGATCATAAAAAATTAATTTAACAACGACGACAAAATTTGATTTTTACACCAAGGCTGCGCAGCGAGCACACCTAAAATTTTGTGTAGTGCTATGTAGAACTTTTGACCTGCTAATACAATCACAATTCGAAAAAAAAATGTCCAAGGGTTTGTTTATTCGATTATATATTTTATTTCTAATAAATAATCCAGAAAAAAAGAAAAAGGTTCCGGTAGACCAACAATTATTGCGGACTAAATAACGTTGACCCACGGTGTAAAAATCGGTACTGCGTGAAACTCTGCCAACATTATATGAGATTTCACGTAATACACGTTTAGATTGGGGTAGCAACTCACTTTTTTTTTAAGAATCGTATAATTAAGAGAAATATTGATTTTTAGAATGTTAACAATGAAAAAAAAACAACACATAAACCAAGAATGCATCAATGTTTTCAGTGATATTGAGAGGAGAAAGGATTTAACAGTCATGTTTTATTGTGTGAATAATGAGGATGTTCCAAAAGAAGGTAAGAATGTTTTGCTTAAAAAGAATTTACATAGAGTGGTATTTGAATGACTTACAGTCCAGACATTGTCTGTAAGCCCTCGTATGACGATATCGAATCCCATGTGTTTAAGCTTTTACTACATATAATTTCACCGTGAAAAGAATGTAGAGGTCACAGTAGGGGGATTTCTAAGTTTAAAAAGGGGATATATAGGGAATATCTTTGAAAATCTTCTTCTACTAAAGAACAGCAGTTCATAATTAATCAAAAGCATTCTCAGGTAGGTAGTGTATATTCCAATTTGTTCATCTCATTACCCGCTGGAGTAGGGTGGAGCCACACAGGTGATAAAAGTTCTAAATCAGAATATATAATAAGAAAACATCTTAATTTTTTTTAAACAGCGAAAACATGATTAGTCAAATTAATACAGAAACATTCTCAGGAAGTGTAAATTCAAATTTGTTTAAACCCTGAACCTGTAGGTAAGGTAGGGTCACAATTGGTAATTAAAATTATGCATATTAGGAAAATGTAGGACGTCTTGAAAAATCTTCTTCTCAAAGCCATGTTCGCTCATATTAATATAGAAGTACCCTCAGGAAATGGAAATTCAAATTTGTTCATATCATGGTCTAAAGAGAGGCTAAAAAACAGGAGACAAAGTTGTGTCATTAAAAATCCTTTATACAAGAACACAGCAAAGCAATGATTAGTCTTATTTATTCAGAGGCTTCCTCAGGTTGTGTAGATTCAAGTTTGTGAAAATTATGTCCCCCGGGAATAATGCAGGGTCACAATAGAAAATGAAAAGTCTAGAAAAAATCTTCTAAAAAAATTAATTAATCAAAGAAAAAATGGAAGCATGCTCAGTTAGCGTAGAATCAGGTTTGTTCGAATCATCCTCTGAAGGAGGGGGGAGGGGGTAAATTCGGGACCACTTATTTTTTTACTTTTTTACAACTTAACTGATTTCTGC